AAATGTATCCATATAGCTTTGCATTTCTAACACACGAGACACATTGTCAAGTGAGTCCAATGAGTTGGTGTTCATTTGCAAATAAAATTTGTTCCATGAATTTAACTCATAAGACGTGAAGATTATGCTGGAATTCTTTAAATACTAAGATTAATTTTTGAATCAGCACAGGAGTAGGAAGTAGATCTTAGAATTCCTATTTGGATCCAATTCCGAATTCAGAATAAGAACTGAATTCAGAAGGAAGAGCACGGAAGGGCTCTTTAGTTGTCTTTCTTATTGCTTTCCCTTGTTGAACTGATGCTTATTCAGGAACCCAGGCTGCAGAGAAAATCACAGCAACTCTCCTGCCTCAACTTCTTAGGCAGTGGAACTTCCAGTATGAGCCCCTATATTCCTTGAGTGGGCTCACTTCCTGCCTGTTCTCTGAGTACTAGTGTAAACCACATCCCTAAACATTTTCTTTTGAGATCAGTTTTTGAGTTTCAGTCCAGTGATATTTTCCCCCTCAGACCCACAATGCAATCTTTATCTGCCTATCTACTTACACGGTGTACACTTATGACATTATGAGACTAACCAGTATTAGATGTATCTCTAACTGGTTCTATCCAGATATCACACTTTCCTCTGAGTTTAATCAAGCAGCATGGTTTTTGTTTTTTGGTTTTTGGTTTTTGGTTTTTGGTTTTTTTTTTCCCTCAAGAAGAAGAAAACAGTCTAAGGTTTATATTTCACGACAGTTAATCAGAAACATTTGAATCACTTAGAGTGTTTCAAAATTAAACCTCCAGGTTTGTGTTAGAAAGTATTTAACTGTTTTTTATTTTAGTCAACCTATAGTTACTTATACAGGGGATGGTCTCACTGCTAGTATCTGAAGTTCAGCGCCTGGGAGCAGCGGCTGCCCTCACTGACAACACTTGCTGTTGATTACAGAGCATGTTTGCCTACAGCCTCCCGTGTGTTAGGCTGTTGTGTGTTCCTCGGTTTCACATACTTGAGGAACTTAGGAAGGAGAACGCTTTAGTGCCTTGTCTTTTTTCACTACACTGATTAGAGTCACATCCGGGCCAGAACTCATTCCAACACTGTGCTCCAAAACTAACACAGTAGGAACGGTAAAAATTTTTTTTTTAAAAAAGTACCGTTTCTGTTTACGTCAAAGTTTTAAACGTTGCGGCCCACACGCCAAAGCCACCTATGCATCATGAGCCACTGTGTCAGACTTCAAAATAATGATTGCACATGCGCGTGTGACGGCCAGCCGTGGACTAATGAGGTCAACACACGAGCATGCGACATTTGAAGTCTTGGGCCCTCCGGCTTAACAGCTCTCACAGGCGCAGCGTAGAAGTGAACTTTATCCTCCCTACCTGCAATACCACAGTCAAGTGGTCTGAACCAACCATTGGCAGCCATGAAAACATAGCTGGAGGCTCAGAGGTAGTTCTGGAAAGAGCTGTCATGCACCAGTACTGGGTCAGTCTGACAGGTCTCTTCTGGGGCTTCACCTCTGGGAGCTGTGGCTTGTTACAGCACACATGGAAGACACACTGTAGTCTTTCTATATCACTGATCCTATGTGTCATGCTCACATTCCAGATGTGAGTTTTCAAACATACTTTTGGAAACATTGTATGATAAAATTGCCAGTGACTGAATTCTCTGGCCTCTGAATTGGCATAAGAAGTAGGATGAGCAGGGGACACGGGGCAGAATTGAAATCTTAATGCTAAATGACTGCATAAGTAAGTTATAAATGTTGAATATTGACATTATCTTTGCAGAAATGTACTTCTGCAGTAGCAGGGGAAACTGTCTGTACAACTGGTCTGGTGTTTTCTTTGGTCCATCACGTTTTGATTACATTTTGCTACTTTTCAGCTCTGAGCTCCCAAGCTTGGTTAAGGTCAAGTTCCCAGAATTGTTTGCTACCAACATAATTGGTAAGGGCCCTTGACCTTGACATTAGTGACATTTTAGACCCCGGCAAAAAATTTTCCCAGCATGTTTCTTCTTATAATAGCATAGTTTTAGTTCTTGGGAGAGATGTAAGTGTTCCTGAGTGGTGGTTACAATCCTTCTTGGTGCTTACTGTCAAGTAGACCGTGACAACGGAAGGAAATTTCTATGGAAGTGAAGTACATTTTGTGTGAGTCAGAAGATATATAAAGTATCTAGTTAAATTTAGATTCATAGTCCTACAATTGGTTGCCATGTAAATCTTTTCCTTCATAATGGCCAAGGCAAAATATATATACATACATATATATATCGGATGATCATTTTTCCCCTAAGCAAGACCAGTGAAAAATCATTTTAACTTGATTCATTGGCCTCTCTTCTGGTCCACGGTCCTTTTTCGTTTGTCTGGATAATAACTGTGTCTACTCACAAGGTCTTTAAACCTGACCACAAAGGATGAAACAGTGTAAACAGTGCTCTTTTGAGAAAGGCTTTCTCCATGCTCTGTATACAGCTTAAATGTGGGATTTTTCTTACCCAGCTGTTCTCATGGGAAAACACTGTGAGCTGTTAGAATTACCAGTGATATTCTGATATTCACTAATGCCACTGGCTGGTCGATGTTTTTGCTGACCATGTGCACTTTTCATTGCTTGGGAATTTCAACACGCATGGCATGGATTTGTTACATTCCGTGCCCTCCAATTCCTCCTCTGTCTTCTGAAACATATTCCCTCCCCATTCAATATCTTCCCTTTCATTTTCTTTTAAGCTCGCTGAATTCACTTAATGCTTTTGGTATGTGCAGGGTTTAGGGCCATCTATTGGAGCAGGGTATCTTCCCAAGGGCCCACATCCCTAACAAAAACAGAATCTCTCTTTCCTAATAACCATTGATCGCCAACACCTCCTCAGCTAGAGACAAAACTTCCAGAACACCTCCCTACTCCAAGCTTGGATTTTGTCTGGCTTGATCTTGTGTAGGTGTTGTACGTGATGTCACAGCTATTGTGTGTTCATAAAAGCAGCTGATCTATTGATTTCTGGAAATCAACGTTTTACTGTAGTCATCTACTGCTTCTTGCTTCTTCAGTCTTTCTGTCACCTCTGCAGTGGTGATCCCTGAGCCTTGAGAGGAGTGGGTGTGGTACAGTCATCTCATTTAGAGCCGAGCTCTCTGCACTTTCTTAATCTCCTCAGTCTGAGCAGTTGTTGGTCTCCGAGTTAATTAATGATAATACTTGTAATAATACCACGCCGAAAGTATGATTTCCATAAAGACGGGCTTCTTGTTAAGTAAGGTATCGGCTTCTTGCCTAGCACCCAGATGGTTAATTTGGTAAATAGTGCTAAGAAATGAATTCTAAGCAGCATTTGCATTCATGTCCTAAAGTTGCCACCGAAGTTCAACAGCAATCCTCATTGTCCATCGTGGCTGGGGCTGGTTTTTACGAGACTCAGAGCAATGAACTGATGATTAAAGCCACCACTGAGTCCTCCCCTCATGCTTACTTTTGGTCACTCATATAATATTAAGATAAAATTACGTCTCCTTGTGTGTTAGGCTGTGGGAATCTCAGCAATATGAACTGAGCCTACAGGAGGCAGAGTTGACAGCAGGAGCTGGAAGCACACTGTACTTAAATATATTCCTGGGAAATCTAAACTTGAGCTTCGAGGGGTTGGGGGGAGGTGCTGACATTTGGAAAATCAAGATGCAATGAACCTAATTATGCAAAACAGTGACTTCCAATCTGTCATTCGTCACAACTCTATCTAAATCTGAGATTATTTAATTATCAACAAAGGGAAAGAGCTCGCCTGCCCTGATGCTTCCCTTCCTGAAAAGAACCCAGTCATTTTATCTTTATTTATTTATTTATTTATTTATTTTTAAATTAAAATATAATGACATCATCTCCCCTTCTCCCTCCTCCTTCCGGTCCTTCCAATGCAGCCCCCTAGCCTCCTCTTAATGACCGAACCCAGGTTATTGAAAGGCAGTTTGCAATTAATTCTCAAGATGACTAGGTGTCAGTTTGGGGCTGGGGGGTAAATGGTAGGCCACCTTGTAACACAGTGTAGCCCCCTTTTGGTTCTGATGTGCGTCCTCTGCTTACCACAGATATGTAGCACTCTTCCTTGTTGCCCCAAGTCCATCCAATGACTCCATTGCCCTGACATTTCTTCTCTTATTTTGGATGTAAGTCAGTCTCACTTATCATCAGCCAGGGCAAGCAGTGTAAACTTATTTCCTGGTGTAGCAGGCTTCTTTCTTTAAGAAGCTACCTAAGGGTCCCCTGTTTTGTAGCTTTGCTCCACAGGGACACTTTTTCCAGGCTATGCAGGGAGTGCCTGAGAAGAAGGATTCACAGACGCCAGAAAGCCAAACCACTTACAGTGGATATGTAAGCCAGTTAGTGACAAGCATTTGTACATGTCTGGAGGGAGGCAAGAGTAAATGTAAATGCTTCAGTTGGTTAGCCAGAGGGAAGGGAACCAGGGCCCAGCAATCTTATCCTTAGATATCGGCTTCTCGCAGGAATAAGGGCTGCTTTTGGTCTACTTACCCATTGTCCAGGGCAGAACCTGCTGATGGCGACAATTTCCGGTTCAGTTTTCAGGAGTGAACACGAGGAGTGAACTGGAGCATACTCATTTGCTCACCATTTAGAATAATTTCTAGAGTGCTAAATGGAAATGGTGCGTGGACCTTGAAGGTTGTCTCTCTCTGCCTGATCTCTCGAGTAAAGAGGCAGGTTACATCCATCAGGCATGTAAATATATATAAGTTTCCGTGGTCCTGTTTGGTGTGGATTTGTTTGAGAAAGCCCAACATCCATCCAGCGACATCAGCTTTGGGAGCAGAGCGAGGCAGCTGGATTGGGTGATAAGCTGATTAGACATTCTTCATTTGGGGTTTTTGGAGACTTCGATCACTATACCCTTCCATTCACAAATTCTTGGATGCTGGATGTTGTACCGATTGAATGTTGGCTGAGTTCTCATGTTCCCATGTTTGTTTATTTCAGCTGGGTCCCGAGCCTCGTATAGCAGCCAACATGGGCACCTGGCCCCTGAGCTTCGGGCCCTGCAGTCCCCAGACCACCACATAGACCCAATCTATGAAGATCGAGTCTATCAGAAGCCGCCTATGAGGAGTCTCAGCCAGAGCCAGGGGGATCCTCTGCCGCCAGCACACACCGGCACCTTCCGCACGAGCACAGGTGTGTATTGGGAACATATTCAGGCCTGAACATGGGCATGGGGGGGACGCGGACCTCCTTGGAAACTAAATCATTGTTCCTAAATGAAAGGTGTGTGTGTGTGCTTGTGTGATGTGACTGTGTGTGTGAGTGTGTGTGTGTGTGTGTGTGTGTGTGTTTCTAGTCAAGCCTTATGACCTGCTTTCATCATTAGTATCTTTGATGATGTCTAGAAAGAGATCGTAACTCCAACTTAGCTACCTAGTTATGCTATAACAAGTAACGGTGCAAAAGGAATTGTAAAGTTACTTTATCAAGTAGAAAAAAAAACACAGAAAGGAAACATGACTGATGTCTTCAGTCCTTTCAATAGTTTAGCTAATGACTGTAAGTACTCCACAAAAGCAATCAGTACCCCTGTCATAAAATGTAGATGCATTATTATGGTGAGTCATTTTTAATGATGTAGTCTACCTTTTAGCAAGCTTGAGGATCAAAATATTTGTTAAAAATGTGACACATTTTGAAAGATGGACTTAGAATGTGCTTCATACACACTAATAGGCTAGAACATTCAGAATTGTCATTTAAATGTTCAAACTTGATAATTATTGAGACCTCAATCAACGGTGTAGCTCTCCAGGATTAAATATGTATTTTTTAAAGTTGTGCCTAACCACCAGACACATGGAGAATGGCAAGTGTTTCCTATGATCTGTAGCCATTCATAGAATAGTCTAAAGTTATGGTTATGTTCCTAATGACACTGACCTTAATAAAAAATACGGGGAAATTAGACACATATTGAGAGGGGCATTCATAGTAAACCTCACCCTGCTAGGTAAGCGGTGGAAGTGGCTCTGTTGGTTTCCTACTGGTAAAGTTTACCGTTCCCTGCAGCACATGCCGCTAACTGCACCTGAAGCGTGCAGCAGCCGGCCTTCCCTTCACAAGCTTAGCCCAGATCTCTGTAACCTCAGTGAATTGTAGCTTGAACTGACCACTAAGTAGAGTGCAGTGATTTTGTTAAACTGCATGTGATGCTGAATTACATGTTTTGAAGGCGAGGGGAGCTACTCTTGTAGTTGATTACGGAAATTTACATTTCACTGTTCCACCGCATTGAAAGAGGGAAAGTCCCAATGCACGCCCTGTGACATTGTAAATGGCGTTCTATATTAATAACATACATTTAGACTTAGATAAGCAAGTACACTGATTCATGCTTGTCACATCTCTCACTCTCAGTGTTACTCTCTGGAGTCGAGCTGCTTGAAGATTGATTGATTGATTGATTGATTGATTGATTCATTGATTTTGCAAATTCTCAATTAAGATAATTTATTTCCACATACACCACTTGTGAAGAAACACTTAATTTGGATAAAAAAGAAAAACAAGAGAATTTTATTAAGCCTCTGTTCTACATGTGCCTTTAGAATTGTATTTTGTTAGTGAACTTTTGGAAAATTAGTAAAAAAAAAAATAGTTACAATAAAAACTGCCATGTACCTAGTTCATATTCTAAGCAACAGGTAGTCTTCACCTGAAACCAAAAGGAAACCATTTTGATCAGTTGCTTTTCTGTTTATTATCTTTAATCTGTTTTTACAGTGCAATCGTTATCCCCATCCTGTTCTGCCCTCTGACGTCCCATTCCTCCTCCCCTATCTCCAAGAGGATGGTTCCACCCCACCCCCAAATACCCAGAGGGAAAAGCAACTTAGAAAAGAAAAGGATTCATTTTAGCTTGTATTTGCAGAACTGGTACAGCCCATCATGACAGGAAAAGCATGGCAGCCAGGCAGGCCTGGTCAGGAATAGGAACCTGGTTGATTGCGTTTCCACACACAGGAAGTAAAGAGCAAGAACAGGAAGTGGGGTGAAGCTATGAAGTGACACACTGTCTCCAACAAGGTTATGCATCCTAAAGGTATCATAACCTTCCAAACACCACCAACTGGGAACCAAGGGTTCAAACTCATGAGCCAAACAGTAAGCATTTCTCATTCAGATGATACGCTGTGATATCCTCTAAATCTATGATAGGCAGATAGCAGCCCACAGGCCAGATCCAGCTTGCCACTTGTTTTAGTCACACTCAGTGGCTAAGATTGAAAATTAAAACTATTTAAGTGACTGGAGGAAAATGAAGAGATGAGTAAGGTTTTCTGATACGTGGCAGTGACATCAAAGTTGAAGTTTAATGTCCATGAGTGAAGCTGTAGACTGCACCCTCACCCTTACCCTGAAATGTCCCTTACAGGTGCCCTGACACTGCAGAGACAGCACTCTGAGGCTGTGACAGACATCATGCAGTTCATAGAACCTGGCTCTTTGATGAAAGTTTGCAAGCCTACTCCCAGATACAAATGGAAAGCTATCTTGAGCAAAGCAATGTTATGCTTTTGTTCTTCCTCTGAGGGCAACCAAGAGTCTCCTCAAAATGCTTCAAAGAGTCTATTATGATGGCAGCCACACCAGAGACCTGCCAAGATGTGGGAGTCAGAGGTCTAACACCCTATGCCGGCTGGCACCGTGGAACTTGGCATAGTTTTTGAGCAAGTGTGATGATTCACACAATGCTATGAACATTTTTTTAGCAAGCATAGAAAGAAGAGAGAGAAAGTGAAGCCACAATCTGCAAGACCCAACCTCTCACACCTAACGCCTGCCCAGGAGGCCCCATGCCTGCATCTGGCCTGCCTCATGTTCTTACTCTTTTCCAGTCCCAGGATCCACTTCTCTAGAGCCCAAATGTCTAAAAGGATGCCTTTGGTATACATATATATTTTACTAATATACCAGAGACATAATAATAATAATAATAATAATAATAATAATTTGTATCTGGTACTGCATATACCTAAAACTGGGAAATTATTAAAAGTAGGGTAACTAAAAATAATTACCAAATAGCCATAATGAAATATTCAAAGATTGCTTCTTTGTATCTGCAGTTGTTTTATTCATAACTCCAGTTTTGTAGGACTAGAATAACGAACCTTGGGAGAAGAGTTCACATTTTAATGAGGCACGTAGGTTAGAGATACTTCTGTCCACCGTTGTTGGCTCGGAATGATGGCTGAGGTGGCATGAGCATGCAGCCTTACCTTGCAGCCTTTCAGTGACAGGGAACCAGCTGTCCCCTAGACATTTCAGACAGTGCTTTAGCAAAGCAGAAATCTGAGCAGTCTCTTTTACTGCACCCACTCTTGGGAATAAGGGTGAGGGAAAGGCAAATCAATAGTTAGGGAGTGAGAGGGATGTGGTAAGAACCAAGGTCTTAAGAACAAGAGAGAGCACATGGATACTTCCAGGGACATTCTTTGGTACATTTAATATATTTATTAATCCTGTGCCTGAGGCACATCTTAATGCTCATCTCATACATCATTAGGCAGACATGAAGGTGTGGCCATCAAGTCACATAGTTTGCTTGGAGCCAGTCTTGGAAAGGTCACACCCAAGCTGCCTTGTCCTAGATCCTGTTCTTGTTTGACCTCATGTTTCTAAATACCATTTGAAAGCAAAACATTTATTTTCACCTATGGAGCTTAATGGCTTTGGACATTACCTTATTAAAGTTGTGTCTGCTAAGATCCACTGTTTGCTTGATACACCGGCTTCTCCAGCGCGGCTTAACGGACTCCTGCCTGTTTCTGAGAACATTTCATTTCATACAGTTTCCTAAATGCGAAAGAAATTGTCTATCAGAGGCTGGGAATGTCTGTGAAAGACAAAGGTCAGTGTCAGGGATGTGTTTTCAACCTACTGGCTCTCCTAAGCATCATACTAAGTCCATGGCAACCATCTCCCTGCCCTTCCCTTGTATAGGCTGACCTCATTTGAAGACCACCATGGTACCTGCCTACAACTAATGTGAATAATCAGCCACTCTTGAGTAGAGAGATTTGTAGGGAGATAACTGCACAAACAAATAACAACAGATTGCCTGTAGACATTGAAGATAACGCACATTAAGGCTCTACAGACATCTCAATCACAGGGATGTCGCAGATGTTGAGGTTAAGGCTCTACAGGTGTCTCCATCACAGGGATGTCTCGGGAGTTTCTTGTACTCATTCATCACTACCATTTTTTCTGTTCTTTCTAATATCCTTCTTCTCTTTTCTTCCTTCCCTGCTTCCAGTTGGAAGTCACCTATGTTGGTTATTTTTGTATGAGGACTGTTTCAGATACCAGCTTAGACAGGGCCACCTTCCTACTTTCATGTATTCAGGACTCCTAAGCCATGCATGGGCTACCTAACTCCCATATGGTTGATCTCATAAACAAGTTCATGCTGGAACATCAGGAAGCCCAAGTCCCCCTCTTCATCTTGCCTCCACTGTGGGCTTGTGGCTGGTGAAACACATGAACAGTTCACTTTTCACCCAGCTGTTGTTTGGATTCTACAAAACCAAGCACAGAGCATTGAAACCATACCAGAGGACATGCTCCGAGAAATCCTCCTCCTCCTCTTCCTCCTCCTCCTCCTCTCTTCCTCTTCTACAGACTCAACTCCAACACTGTCTTTCCCAGGAACACCAGGACACTTCAGGGCAGAGCCTGATCCTTCTTTTTTCTACCCAACCTAGTAGAAGGTAGCAGGCTCTAAGGATGACCATGAATGCATCACTGGTCCCAGATGTGCTATAAGTAGAGGTTCACGAAGAAAGCCCATTATCCATATCCTAACTAAAGGCAGCAGTGATAGACAGACATTGGCATGGTGGTCCAGAAATACATCAGCCACCGTTTTCTGAGTCAGCAGTGACTCCTAGTCAACTAGACTGCCAGAGAGTAGTATCCCATCCCCATCCATGTGAACCCTTCCTTTCATTGAGGACCTACAAATCTGGGTGGTGAGATGCTAAGTAAAGAGGGCTATGTACTGGCAAGTGATAAAGTCAGCCTTGTCCAGGAAGGTTCGCAGTAATTCCTTGAGCATAGCTCTATTTATACTTGTGTCATATCAGAAGACAGCAGTGCTGGAAAGATTAGAGTGGGGGATGATG